GATGTCGGTGGGGAGATGAGGGACCAAGACTGACAGAGGGAATCTTCCTCTCTCCCCTTCTGCCTCCTCACTCCCTCATTCTGTCGTCTCCCCATCTCTTTTCAGAAAGGGACAGGTCTCATTTAGGGTGTGTGTCAGCGGTGGGCATTTCTGTAACACAAAGGGAGGTTCTAGTTAGTTTCTGGTCTCCTCCCTTCCTCCCAGCCCTCAGCCATTGGAGGTAAGTAGCTGAGACTCAGCTTTTGATCAGGTGACCTGGGTTCAAAACCTGTGTTACCTGGCCAAGCTCCTTAACCTTCCGAGCCTCAGTTGATCCTCTGTAAAATGGGTCAGTAACCACTGCCCCATAGAGTTGCTGGGGAGTGAAATCAGATTGTACTATGGAGCACCTATCAATACTCAATAATGATGTCTTGTGCTGTTTCCCTTCAAAGCCAAGGTCAGGGCCCTAGCTACTACTAATCGTAAGGAGGAACACATAACAGTTTTACTTCCTTCACTATAACCTTCAGAATAATAAAGACAGAAAATACCTTAACCCCTCTCACCCCAGAAGGGTCTAGGAAGCTTGTGACTTAGTTTCCTCCTCTTCCTCTCTGGTTCTGCAATATCTGGTCCTCCCTGGTCATAGGGGCAGGAATGGAGGCCAAGCCAAGGGCTCTGAGGTCTAGATTCAAGTATAAGAGGTTAGGGAAGTGGAATCAGTACCGCGCTCAAAGGTGGGCAGTCCGTTAGAGGTGGCCCACATGGAAAACCAACCACTCTGCGATACAGAGCCTTTCCCTCTTCCCAACCCTTGGCGATCAGACATTGTCAGGAACTTTCCAGGTTAGTTAGTGCTGCGGGTCAGAGTTAGGGGCAACCTGGCCTGAGCAAGCCATGGAGTTTGGACAAACCTAGCGTTGATGCGAGTGCTTCAGTGAAGGGCTAGCAGAAGGAGGAAAGACACGAACCCGTGGCGTTCTGGTCGGCTATTCATCTTCTAGCGGTGTGGCCCGACCTAGGTTCCATCCGGGAGTGGCAACCTCCGAGCTATCCTCCCGCCGGGGCAGCCCTGACACTGGGGAACAAAAGCTTTCGGTTCCTGTAGCAACCGCTCCAGCTGCTGCAAAGTTCCGGGGAGGCGGGCGGAGGGCGGCGGGGGCACCGCCCCCTCCCCTGCCACCCGC